CTGTCAACACTTGTGTCCCGGGAGCGGTTTACAAAGCTCTCAGGTTTCTCTTCCAGTCCCACTGGAGGAAAACGTGGGAACGCGGGCGGGCCCGGGCGGAGAGCCGTCTCGCTGTTCCCGCGGGTGTGCGCCGGGGCCGACGGCGCGCCCGGCCCGGGGCCGCGCTGCCGACCTTCAGGGACGGGGAGGAAGTACAGTCGAGAGAACAGTGGGTTAAATCAAAGTCTTTATTAACCAAGGCCATTTTCATCCTGTAAGTCCATCTAATACTAAACAGGGTCAGATGCTCAAGAGCTGAATGCAACACTTTATTCGGGTTAGTCCTTGTCAATGAACTTCCTGCGAGCTTGTATTTGAACAGAAACCGCGAATCCTCAGGTACTTAGTCAGCTGTAGCTAACTACACTGAAACTGCAAATTTATAGATGTTTTATCATTAGGTCAGTAAAAAAAAAAGCAAACGTAGGATATGATAAAGGTTGATTTAAAAATAATTTATCCTTAGGCAGTATACCTTTTTTAGAACAAGTATAATTTACAGAAATTCTACACGTCACTTTTTGTCAATATTTAACACGTATTTAGCAATTTTTTTTTTTTTTGCTGAAATAGTATTTCAATTGTAAAATCTATCTCCGGTTACAAAAAAAAAAAAAGATCAGAAACCTTATTGGAATTTAGCATAATTTACAAATGTCCTAAGAATTCTTAAGCCACACAATATTTTAAGTAGAAAAACAGTAATTTTAAAAGTTTGGTACTGTTTTGGTAGTTTATGTGCATGTACTAACTGGTCTCTTTATAGGAAACCCAACTAAAAGTTGATCCTATTAAGCACTGTAAAACAAAGGCAAAAGCTAGTCACCTTTTAAAAAAATCGAATGCAACCCTTCCAAGTATCAAAGATACCATTTAGTGTTAAGTGCCCAGTACAAAATACTAAACAAAATACATTTACTGGCTTGGTTTTCACTCGCAGCCACCCTGTTTCCCTAAATAAGGACTTCCGATAAATCTACAGTGCGATTTGCTTAGTGTAGACCACACCATTCCCCCCACCAAGTACTTAATTTTCTCCCCCAGCGCCCCCACACCCCCACTGTGGTACCATGTTATTAAAAACATTAAGTACCTGGGATTTATGCTTCACATCAAGACATCATTTGAGTGATTTCAAATGATGTACAGCTCCTCATGTAAAAAAGATGTTTTGTGGTCACAATTACTTCAAAAAGTAATTATATTCAAATAACCTGACATATCATGCCTTAGCAATTACAAAACCATGATTTTGACACATGGCAATTTATAAGTTAAGCAAATGCGAAACGCTAAAAGATGTGAACAGCTGCTCTTCTGTTTTAAGTGTTAAGTGTTCCGTTTAAGAGTGCTGCAAAACTCAGGTAATGACTTTATTTTTTTAGTGAGCATAACCAGCCCACGGTACAGTGTGCTAAGTCATAAAGTACAAATCCAAGGAAGGTAACGCCTTTACTAAGTTACAAAACTTTTGGCCAACCAATACAGTACTCTTTAATACAATAAAATAATATTTCTGTTGGAGTCATATATTACCTTAGTGATCATTTGCACTCCAAAAATATCATTTAAGTACCAAATCAAAACACTGTGGCTTCTAGCAGAGCAAGTTATTTTATATAAATTAGTGTCTTTAACAGCTACACAATTCCCTCTTTTAAGTGAGCTCCTCACACACAGTCTAGTTTGTAGCAGCACAGCAGCTGTATGCATGTAAAGGGCAGCTCTGCTTTGTTCTGGGCTTGGTCCACAGCAGGCAAAGTTCCACTGTCTGAAAAGCTTCAACCTTCTACCTTAAGAAGACTCACTGTCAATACCGATTTTTCCAAGTACATTCTAAAGAAGTTACATTTTCACATAAATACTGGAACCCTAACAATTAAGTCATTTCAAGTCATACTCACATCAGATGATCCCTGTGATTTAGAACCCCTGTACTTTGTGTTGATGAAAATCACACAGCCTTATTCCAGTTTATCAAAAAAAATCTACCTAAAATATAGTTTTTTTAAAAAATAACAAATAAATATATTGTCAAGCTTGGAGAGACCTGGTGCTGTGTACCAATTTTATCATTTCTCTACAAATGCTGCTGCTGCCATTGGTGTCCTTATGCTTCCTCTTGCTGAAGCTGCCAATTCTTCAATCTCAGCATTTAATTTATGTATTACCCATTCCATTGCTTCTCGGCCCTTAAAAAAATCCAATACATTCATCGTTACTGAGTGGTAACAAAGGTATCTATCAAATAAATGACACACAACGAAGTAATAGGGAGTGTTGTAAGGATAACTAAGTCTCATAAGGACAGACTACTTTTGTCCTTGCTCTCTTTTCTAATATTATTTACCAAATATCAAATGCCTTGAACTGGCTTGATCCATAAACTGACTTTTATTTTGTATGCAAAAGATGTTCTCGAATCAATCTACAATTAAATGACAGGATGTCTTATTTATTTCACGATTAGTCAACCTCTTTATGTCCACATTTTACTTTATTTTATTTTTAATGTCTACATTTTAAATCAAAGTCATTTGCAGGGCTGCAAAGGATCTGGTCTGTGATTATTTTCTCATCCCTTCTGGTGTTCTTTGCAGTTCCCTGAGGAATGAGAAGAGGTATGTCTTGTGTTTCCTGTCTCAGGGCCTTTGCACATGCAATTCTTCCACCAAGAATGCTCTTCTGGCACACCCCTCACAACCAACCCACCATCCACCCATTCAGGCCTTGGCAGCATTGCTAAACACTCAAATGCTTTCATACCTGTCTTTCCTAATGAATGCTGTGTGAACAATGTTGCGTTCCTCTTAATTCCAGAGACATTTGTTTTGCTCCCTGCTGTGTCCCCAGTCTAGCCTAATATTCTGCCTGGCACAGAGAAGGTATCTATGAATATCTCTGACTGCTGAATGACTCTATTAAACATGTGTTTAAAAAATGATGCATCAGGTAACTCTTTCCCTAACATAATTTCATTCTTTTATGTATAAAGCATATGTATGTGTGTGTCTGTGTAGTTATTAAATAATTTTATGGGAATGCCAATTAGAAAAAAAATACTAAAGCCAATGGAGGAGGCAGTAAGAAAGAGCTAAGAAACAACACTTTAAACAGTGACACACAGCCACACATCATTAAGTCCTTCCTGCATACAGAGCCCTGGGCACACACTTTCTGTGTTACTGCATGCCAACCTAGCAAGAGGGTGATCTCAACTTCACAGATGGAAACTGAGGCACAGAGAGTTAAGTTAATTGCCCACGGTTGAGAGGCTGGTTAAGAGAGCTTGCAAGTAAACTCAGGTGTGCTGGGCTACAGAGCCTGTGCAAACAACTGCCTAATGCTCTCTTTCTTTGCTCTGCAGAGTGGCTTAGAGTCAGCTTACAAGGACAAATACACATTCAGCACAAGCTCTTCCAGGAAATGAACCCAGGCAATAATAAACAATTAGGAAGCAGCCCACTTACTTTATTAGCATTTGAAGATATCGTGCTTGCCATCAGTCCTTCCAGGTAACTGCTGAGGCTGACTCCTTTCACCGTGATTATGGCTTCCTGAGTCAAAACAGTTCTGGCACAAAACACAGCCACAGTTTCAGATGACCCAACTCTCATTTTTTAAAAAAATACTTGATAAAAGAAATGCTCTGTAAAATAAGTCTGTTAACTCTTTACTCACTTTTCTGGGTCCTGAGGATGTGGTTTGTATATAAGTCTCTCATCTACTGAAACCATGTTTGTAAATGAAATCTATAGAACAGGGAAAAGTTTGTCATTTTGGAAATGAAGATTAAAAACATTTCTCAAATTAACACATGAACTGAAGTCTTACTATTTAAACATACAGTAAACCAACTAATAAACCACTTTGATATTGCTGTGCAAATACAGCTTAAATTTTACTATTTGATATCTACTTTCTTATTAAAAAATAAATTCAAGGAAAGTATAATTATCATAGTAACAATCAAAATGATTATATGCACATGATCCCAAATCCACTTTATTGAGTGATAGCTCCTAGAAAGAGGCATGTCCATTGCAGTGCTGAGGCTTAAAAAGTTGCACAGGGCAAAGACAATACAGCTTCTGAACAGACTTTCTATATACACACTGAAGTTCATACAGACCTCTAATATGAACTATATGAGAGAGAGAAAATTAAGCTAAACAGTTCAAAATTGAAACAAAAGAGTGCCCAAACTTACATTAGTAGAGTTAAGTTCCATTGTTTTCTGTACAGGATCAACTACAGAATGTTCTTGCACGTATGTTTTGGTTCTTGCTGCACCAATAATCTAAGTAAAACATTTGGAATTAGTAACCAGAGGAAGGATTTCTTAACTAAGTGTATCAATATTGTATTTGAAGGTATAAATGTGCAGTTTGGGGAACAAAAAAAGAGTTTTGAAAAAACAGGAGGAAACAGACCAGGGGCAGGAGGAAAGCCTGCCTGACGTGGAAATCGCCCAGCTGTGAGCGGGAAGTATGAAGTAGAAACATGGAAATCAGACTTGGGGAAATCTGGCATCTAGAAAAGGGAGAACTTGAGATCTGCCAGTGTCTCCCAGAGCGGTCCAAGGGAGAAGTCTCCCAAGCTTCCTTCTCCAGACAGACTGAAAATAGCTACCTCACGGTGGAAGAGCACCTTACACCAGTGTCACACCCTGTGCTGTGACCCCCAAGCCCATCTCCTCATTGTACTCATGTCTGTGTCTGCACTATCTAATGCCACGGTCTGCATACAGGAGGTAATCAGTACATTCCCGTTGAAAAATGTGTATTTAGTTTTCTGAGTGGAGCTGTATAGAAACCTGGATTCACTTATCACACCAGGGTTTTCATTTACAATAAATCAGCATTCAAGTTTCTTGCTATTAAATTAGCTCTTTAATGCCTACTTGTTTATAACTGAATAGAAATGCTTCTAAATGTATGGGAAGGAACACCTGACTGTCGTACAAAGGTGACAACAGCCAGTCTGAGGATGTTCTCCTTACTTAATGGGCACAACCTACCACTGTCCACAGCAACTATCACCTAGCAGTCATGATCAGACCAGTAATGCTAAATCTCATTATTGGTCTCAAGTTGCTAGAAAAAGCAGGAAAAACAATATAACTCCTTTTAGATTTCAGAGCATTAGCTGGCTTCCTTCAGAAGGTCTTATCGAGTGCCTTCGTGAAGACTGTAATAATATTTCCAATTCATTATACACTTATAACTCAAGTTTATTATAATACAATTTGAACTGAAGCAAAAATGACACTCGGAATCAGCTCCCACAACCTATCTGAAATTATAATGTGGTTTAGAAAACTTCTCTACACAGTCACATTTCTCTGGGAATCTGAGCACACTTACAGACTTCACGATGGAAGGCAGTCCCCACTCTGTGCTGAGAAGTCTGTGGCTATGCAACTTTCCGGAAGGATCTATGTGTCTGTCCAGCACATCAACTCCGACCACACTCGGGTTCATAGGGTTAGGGTACTTCTGCATCGCGGCTGTTGTAACAGTTTCCCACGGGTGGCTGCCAACAGAAATTGAAAATTGTTAAAAATATGCATATGAATTAAGCAATTTTTATAAGCCATCAAATCATTCTTTACAATGGAAATTTAATTAGTTTACCTAGGGAAAATTACTTTCTGAAACACTGACTGAATGTTGATTCTGGGAGCTTGATCACCATTTTTAATATGTACAAACTTCCATACTGCTCTGGAATACAGGCTGTACAGAACAACTGATGTCTATGAAGACCTACCTACAGTAGAGCTTCCTAAATAATCACTTCACATGTAAACTGTTTCTAGGAAGAACCACTGATTCATAAAAGTATATTTAAAAATTAGGATCTTCTGAAAAAACAGCAAAAAAACCCCTCATTTATCCTTTGATGGATGACAGTTTTATGAAGTTATAAAGAGTAAAAGAACTTAGACACTTAAGTTATTTTTTTAAAAAGGAGGCACTGTGCACTATTATAGGGGTTACAAAAAGACCCTGAGTATCATTAGTTATTAAAATTTTCTTTTTATATTAGTATAATAAATAACAGTAGTCCCACCAGTCAACAGTCATTGTTTTCCTCAAAGAAGTGATTTTGATTTGTTTCAAAAAGGTCACTCAATACAATAAATGTTATTAAGGCACTCCTAATATGCCATTTTCTAATAATCTCTCTTAATAACATGTGTATCAGCTAGGGGTGAAGTAGTATTAATACCGTATCACTTGCAAACTTGCAGTCTTTATTTTCCTGAAAAAGCATATATGCTTGAGTGGCTCACAATGTTATGTACATTTGTTCTCTTCACAACTCTATGACTAAGATGCTTGTACAAGAATATCTGTTTCTGAAGAACCCCTTTTTAACTGCCATTATTGTTAAAGGTGACTCAGGCCACCTGTGGTCTGATTCTAACCCGCTGTACTATTTATCCTCCCTCTCTTTCACTTATCTTTGAGGTACTGGGAATTGAACTCACAGCCTTCCAACTGACTTATACATCCAGGCTTCTCTGAATTTTGAGATAGGATCTTGCTAAGTTGCCAAATTGCCCAGGTTAGGCTTAAATGTGGGGTCTTCCTGCTTTAGCCTCCCAGATGTCTGGGATTCAGATGTAAGCCACCATACCCAGCTTCTTCTCTTCAATCTACAGGAAAATAATGAGGTCTGGAGATGATTTTCAAGCTACACTGATTGACATAAACCACACAGTATTACTTCTTACTTTTGTAGAAGCATGAGGGCAGACATTAATCTATTTCAACTTTTCAGAGAACTCAGATTGACAACTACATCTTGTCAACACAAGGAAAACCTCAAGCGCATTAATTTCCCAGAACCCTGGACAATCAGTGACATGAGTTTAAATGTCTTCATTTTCTCTATAATATTGTATAAATTAACCTTACTCTGTTTTTAATCTCAAGCCTTATTGAGTAATCAATTCAGATATGTAAGTGGAACAGCTTCATAAATCTAAACCATTCTCACAAACTGAAATGATACAGGCCAAGTACTCTGATTGTTACCAAGGCAACTATCTAAAATGAAAATCAGATGAACTTCTTTCCTGTCCATCTAGTTATATACCATGGTTAGCTAGCTTCTATGCACTTATCTCTTCCCACTGCCTCCTCTAAAAAATAAATAACCACATGGCTTCAGGGTGCTTATGCATTATTTGTAATTTAGGCTATCTCTGTTTTCTAAGCCAACTTGAAAACATCTATGTTGACTTAGCTCAGACTAAGACTGCTCTATGAAACATAATTAGATCAAATATTACAAAAGATACACATTATGATTAATAGTTTTCCAGCAATTAGTTTTAACTCTATTAATTATGTGAAAAAGGTCTAACACCGGAAGACATGAAAAGACATCACCAAAGTGAAATACAATTTCTTCACCTATGAGATGTGGACTTGGTGAATTGTATAGAAGTACTAAGTGTCCTAATTTCTTTACTACAATGTGCCAGTCTAAGGAACAGTGCCTAGCACCTAAAGGGCATTCTTTTTTTTTTGTTAAAGAGTCTCACTATGTGGTCCAGGCTGGCCTCAAACTCACAGCGATCCTCCTGCCTCAGTTACCGGAATGCTGGGAATATAGGTGTGTGCCACCACGCCCACTACAGCATTCTTGTACGTTGAAGGAATCAATGACTGATGTCAAATGAATGCCAACTTCATGCCAGGCCTCCAGAGGAAGCAGTGTTGGAAAATCAAGGATGGATAAAATGTAGAATGATGCCTTAGTTACTGTTTCAGAGAATATCATGAAGATGACAAGAGTGAGCAGATCTGTGAGAGGCCATTATGCCTTCAACTTCAGGGAAGCTCAGTGTGATCCATCTCTGGATATGTAGGTAGTGATTTCAGGTATCTGACAGGCACTTGACAATAAAGACTTGAAGTTCAAGACTGGCTGGTGCTCAGTGCTATAAACACTGGTGTATAGAGGGGACCTTAACTGAGTAGCTCAAACTATCTGGAGAGCAAGCCCAGGTAAGGCTTCCTCTTCTGGCACACGGACGGTATTTACTTGAATGTATCTATCTTATGGAACGAAGATCTAAGAGCTCTCATCAAACTTCTAAGAGGTCTGTGACAAAAAGAGAAAAAAATACTCAAATTACTAATGAAATATAAGACAAGAAGGCCAACAACTGAATGTCACTGAACATTTATACTGACAGGGAAGAAGGGCAATACCGAAGAAAGAGGCAGCAGAAGAGGCAAGGAGTGTGGGGAACACGCTGAAGAGAAGAGCATTAGGGGAAGAGGAGGAAGTTCTAAGAACAATCAAAGACCTAGACACAAAAACAGAAACTTTAAAACTGTTGGAAGATTAATATAGGGGAAACACTTGAAGCTACTTGAAGCTTCCCTTTCTTTGTCATATATCAAAGAACACCTACTGCACTGCTGGCCCTTAGAGAAGAAACTGAAAATGCTAACCAGTATGGTGAAGCAGCAGTTCACCATACAGTAAGTGTCTGGAAGTGAATGACCACGACTCTGAGTACCTCTTGTACTTGTAGAGGCCAAAGGGAACTTGTATCACTCTCATGATGTCTCAATAAATTTAGTATTAAAATTTTATACAAGATTTTCTTTTCTTGAAGTGTGTATACATTTTTTGGGTGGACTGTGTGTGTGTGTGTGTGTGTGTGTGTAAGTATAAAAACAAATTCAGCCATTAAAAAGAATGGGAGCACATCATTTGCAGGGAAATGGATGGACCTTGAGACCATAATGTTCAGTGAAATAAGTCAGACATAGAAAGTAAACTATCCCATGGCTTCTTTTATATGAGAAATCTAAAACACAAATAAAAAAACAAAGGAAAGATGGTAGGAAACAAAAAACTTTCTTTTTTGAAAAGAGATGAAAAAAAATTGTTTTGGAGATGGGGAAGAGGAAGGGGGTAGGCTAGGGATGGGATAAAGGAATTGAAAATGACTAAGATATGTTATATACATGTACCAATTCCCCAAAACAAATAATGATTATGAATGGCAAACCTACACCATTAAAAGAAAAAAAATCAAGAGACTCAGCCAAGTTCATCTCAGGGAGAGGACTGAGGCTCAGAAACCCTGGTGCTGACAGGGACTAATAAAGAATGTAACCAAGTTAAAAGACATGAGGAAAATTACAGATTTAGAGTCTTCCCTTGATGAAGGGTTATAATATTAGGGAGAAAAGAAATCTCCCTTTTGGTTCTAATAGTCTATTTTTTCCAGGAAACAGTGGGCTCTAAGATGGGTCTGATCTGCTATGAAAAAATGTTGACAATTTTTTTTTTGGGAGACAGGGTCTTGCTTTGTAGCCCAGGCTGGCCTCAAACTCATTGCAATCTGCCTGCCTCAGCCTCCCAAGTGCCGGGATTAAGGCATGTATCACATGTAGATCAAATATTAACTTCTTTTAAAACTGCCCCCAGAAACACTTTTAAAAACTCAAACATCTACACTAAAATATACCATGAAGCCACAATAATTAAATCAGCGTGGCAACAGCAGCAAGGTGAGCCAAATACAGCAGGTAGCTTAGAAATGGAATCAAATATAAATCAACAACAGTGGCATTCGCATCCGTGGAAGTTGGGATGGGGATAGGGCTTAGTGGTAGAGTGCTTGCCTAGTAACTGTGAAACCTTGGGTTCAAGCCCCAGTACACCCCCAAAAAAAAGAAAAAGAAAAAAAAAATCAGTGGAAGTCAGTCAGTAGTCCTGGAGTTGACCTTGACTAAGCATTTTTGTGCCAGAAATATGACCTAGCTGTTCGTATTTGTGATTTTTTTTGTATGTGAAATTGTGCGCTCTGAAGATAATTTACAACGTTCCATTGGTTTAAAGCTTATTTTTGTTACTAAAGCTCATGATAATCGCCGAGTGTGATGGTGCATGCCTGAGGCGGAAGCTGAAGCAGGAGGATCGAAGTGAGTTCGACGCCAGCCTGGTCTACGTGGTGAGTTAAAGGCCAGTCTGAAGTACATAGTGAGACCCTGTCTCAAAACAAAACAAAATAAATCAAGTTCGCGCTAACTAAACCTGAATGTGAAGCTCTTACACAGAGATCTTACACAGGCAGACCCTGATCAAACGTGATCTTCCATTTCAGATAAAAATGGGAAACCAAGGTCACAAGCTTGCTGGAGCCTCAGCGAGGCCTTGGACTTCAAAACCAAGGCTCTGTGTTCCTTACGTGGACGAGCTGTCATCAAGGTTTTGGGTCCTGGTGGCCCCAGTGCACCCGGAATTCAGGTTCAGGGCTAGAAACTTCACCCCGACGGGGGCTGCTGCACCTGGACTTGAGAGAAAACCCACGCCTCTCTTGGGACCCCTGGGTCCCCATCCCAACTGGGCCGAGCCAGGCCGGAAGTGGCCGCCCTGAGAACTGTCGAGGGCCTCGTGCCGTGCGACGTCCCCTGGATCCAGGGAGACTCCTCCCGCCAGGCCCGCTCCCCACGCTCCCGCCGGACCCCGCGGCCGCCACTTCCGGGCCCGGGGGTCGTGACCTTGCCTCCTTCACCGTCCCGCGGCCCAAGCCCTGCTCCCCCGCCCGGCCCGACGTCGGAAGTTCCCTGCGGTCTTCTCCGTCTCGCTCCACTTCAGGCCCGGAGCGTCCCAAACTTACTCAAATACATGCTCAGAAGTCCAGATCTTCATAGCGCCGGCGGCCTGCTCGATGTTCGGGGAGCGCTGGGGACAATGAGGCACAGAGGTAGTCCGGCCCCGCCCCTCGCCCCGGCCGGCAACGCAGTGCGCAGGCGCTGTAAGGCCCGGCGCGAGGACGTCCCGACGCGCGGCCTCACGCCCTATCCCGGCCCGGCCAGCGCCGGTCTAGCGCGGCGCAACCAAGCCCCGCCTCTCGCGCGCGGCGCTACTAAGGCAAGTCCCGCCCCTTGCGCGAGCGCAGCGCGCCGGCGCAGATCTGAGTAGCGCTCTCCCGCCGACGGGCTCCGTGCTGCGCAGGCGCAGTTTTGCGTAGGCGCTGGGCGACTGGGCGCAGCTGTCTGCGCCGTGTAGGCTGGGCGCGGGTTGGGAGGCCTACCGCCTTGGAGGGTTGGTATTTATGGAGTTCGTCCAAACAAGCTTCAGTGGCGTCAGGTTTGAAAGTTCCACCCGGACAGTTGCTCCCGCCCTGGTCTCAGCTCAGGCATCTGTGGGGCTGAAAGCCGACAGCCAAACTAGCTAATCGACCCATTTGCTGTGTGCCCATTCCACCTGCCCGCAAATTGGGGGCTCTCGCGGGGACGGGGCAAGACACAGAGACACCACTCAGCCTGATCACTGGCTCAGCGAGAGGGCGGAGAAGCTGCACGTTGCCCTGAGGCCCTGGGTCCTTCCGCACCGTCCTTCCTCTGCATGGCCTCCCACTCCTAGTCCACCCATTGCAACATCCTGTTGCATTTCAATACTGAACACTCGAGGTCATCTTGTTTATTTGTTTAATTCCCCCTAGAGGTAACCTCTTGAACACAGGATCTCACTTGTCTTTCCCGACAACGATTCTCAGTGTCTTCTGTATGGCAACATCTCAAAAAGTTATGGAAAAATGAAATAATTATTTGTGGGATGAATTAATGAAACCATCTAGGTTGTCTGTTTCACTTTAGGCTGGAAGCCTCTGAGGGCGAGGCTGTCGCCAGGCTTGTTCAGCGATTCCTGTAATTATTTGTTGCATAAACAAGACAGTGACTAAGAAGTGAGGGACCCGGAGGAGATGGCTTGAGTTGTCATTCAGCTGTGAGAGAGTCCACTGGGTGTACTGCTCGGCTTAGCTGCCAGGGTAGGGCTTCCTACTCCCGCTGTACAACGTGGTACCTCCCAGCAGTACAGTTTGCACTTGAAATGGTGATGAAGGAAAATCTTTATGTTTGGTTACTGGTAGTTATAGAAGTACTTCACTCTTGTTCTTAGTTTGATTGTTAAATAAAAGCCAGGTTAATCTAGGAGAGAGGATAATTTTTTTTTTA